ACTAAGATGATGTCTCCATTTTTTTCATTGCAGATTCCCTTTTAACAGTTGATCTTTTACCTGTAGGATTTACACTGTGATGGCTTCTGTGAGGTCTGTAGACGTTTTAAACCTAATAAAATTAAATGTAAGTCAATACTAATTTTAGTATTGATATGCAAAAGGATTTTCTCAGATAACTACCTTTGCATATTAATCGGGAGATTGTGGGGTGCTCCCAGGCCTGGCCTTGACCTCCTACATCATCTAGGGTCCCATTGGTCACAATTTCCTAATCTACCTAAGGCTAGTCCAAGCTTGGGTTAAAACTAGAGAAAGAAAAAAGAGAGAGAGGGCTTAGCACTTAACACTGGTGGAGGGAGGCCAAGCTTGAAGAATCCTGAGAAATGAACCCCCCCCAAAATGGTGCCGGTGCTAGTTCAGTGGGCCAGGGGAATTTTTTAAATATAGTTAGAATCTGTCACCTCTTTTCTTGGGTCAGCCTGTTTAATCACTCACTCTGTTCACTGGAATTCGCCCCCCTGACAGCCTGTTTACTCATTCACTCTTCTCTTGAATCTTAGAAAACTCTCTGGTGGGGATAAGTTCAAATAATGGATTTAAATAAAAAGAAATGAGAAAAAGGTGGTTTTAAAACCCTCAGGACACTGTATTTAAAGCTCACAACCTGTTGAGGATGGTGGCATCTTTCCTGCAATTCTGTCTGCAGCCCTCTGCCGTTCACTCTGTCCTCACTGCCCGAGAGAGGTCACCTGCCAAGCACCACAGCGCCCCGGGGCTCCAGCGTCATCACTCCAGGGGGTCTGTCAGCTAAGGAAACCCCGGAATGAAAGCTCTGGGAGGTCCCAGACCAAGAGCATAGTGCTTGTTTATTCAGCGCCTAGCACAGCAGCTCATAGTTGGTGTTCAGTAAGTATCCTTTAGGTGAAACGCATGAACACTATTTCCAGTTGTCCATCTCACAGTCAGTTCACCAAACATTTCCAAACTCCAACTCAAAATCCACCCTCCTTGCTTCCTTGACACTATTCTACCAAAACTTGGAAACCAATCAGAAACTTGCAATCAGTTTATATTCCTCTTCTCTAGTCCCTGTATTGGGTCTTACCAGCTTCTTTAGTATATTTGATTATCTCCCTGGTCCCCTTGCCAACAGCCAAGGCATATAGTAATAATAGCCCTCCTTCTGACTTTCCGTCTTCTCTCTGTTCCGTACACCTAGCACACAGACTGGGCCTTAACAGAGCTTCCTAGCTCCCTGGCCTACAGCAGCTTGCTGTTTAATCTCAGACCAAGCACAGAGGCAGGAATGTGCAAAGAAGCAAGCGATGAATGACCTTCTGCCACTATACCCTGCAAGGCCCTGGGAAAGCTGCCTCACCACCCTGAACCTTCATCGCGGTGGCTGTAAGACGTGAGGTTTGGCATAGATGGTTTCCAGAGGTAAGTCCACGCTAAAATACACCATTACCTTTGGTACCCTGCCAACACCACAACTCTCTCTGTTAATTCCCCCTTCCTCATCCATCTAGGCCACATCCCTGCCTCCAGTCCACACACGCCAGTCACCTTCCATCCCTCTCAGGGTCCCCAGCCGACACCAACAGGCTCGGTCCCAGCATTTAAATCTGGGCTCCTCTGACCATTTTCTCCATTTGAAACGCCCCGCCCCACTCCTTATCAGTTCAAATTCTGCACCTCCTTCACGGGCCATCTCATGTCCAACGTCCGTGAAGCCTTCCCTACCTGCCTACAATGACATTCCCTTGATCCAAGCCCCTGTAGCAAAGGGCCACACTGTCACCCCCAGGCAGGCACTCACTGCTAGAGGTCTGCCCATGGAAATGACAACAAACCCCCAAGTGAAGGGAGAAGCAGTAGGTTCTACACTTCTGAAACCATGTGCCCAAGTTAAAGACTTAAAACCAATTCTTTATTTATGTTTGCTTTAAAGCTACATGTGTCAGTGATACAGAGAAAAATGTATCCTCTTGGTGACTAACTGTGGAAGAAATTTCCTTTGTAAGAATAGTGTTTGTGTTGCAAGAAATAAGGAAGATAATCTGAAAGGACAAGACCCCAGTGCACATGCTCAAGCAACAACGGATGGAACCTTAGATGCCCTCTCAGGCGGGCCTTTCCTACTGAGTGCAGGGCCTTGCTGAGCTCTGAGATGAGCAGAGTGTTTCAGTGTAACAATATTGAATGGGTCTTTTCCTGTTGGCTACAATTTTTGACAGAGACCCAAGCAGAGAACAATAGAGGAAATGTAGCCTCACATTCCAAGGAGAGATGTTAAACACACAGGCAAGACTTAGTAAAAAACAGGAACACCAACCCTGTGATTCTCACCCTCCCCACGTACCTGCGGCCTGTTGGCGAGAACTAAAAAGGCCTGTCTGAGTGCAGCAACGGGAGCCTACTCCCCACTTGCAGGATGACAAGTGTGTAACCCTGTTTGGGGGACAAAAAGGTATCAGATTGAAATTAGGTTGTTTCTGATAAGTTATAGGCTGAATAGGATAGGATTGGGTTTAAGAACATGGCCTTGGGTTTATTTAGCCTGCACTCAATTATGACTGTGCCCTTGAGTAGCCAGAGGAATTACTTCACCATCGTGAGCCTATTTCTTCATCCTTCAAAGTGCAGATAATAGCCGCACCTACCTCACAAGGTATTGTGAGGACCAACAGAAGGGATGCTCGTCCTGTGCTCAGCGCAGAACCAGCCCCTTAGCCAGTGTTATGATATATGTACCAGACGTCCAACCAGCCAGCAGCAGAAATTCACCTCAAGGAAGGCACTTTCTTCTCCATCTACATAGAGCGCAAATATTTATTCTTCATATGAAAAGTCCCTTTCCTGATTCATGTGAGATTTGGCTTCCCACGTAAACAACTATAAATCTCAAGTATATACCTGGATCACAGTGGCTCATAGAGAGACCCCAGAGGCAGCACACAAAAACGAGAAACCTGTTTTGCAGTTTTCCTAAACTTGGGTAGCTGATGGGGGCCCCCCAGTGGAAGAACCACCATGCACTATTAAGCCATTTCTTGATTCTGTGAACAAGCATCATTATCTCTCCATGTCTTCCTAATTGCCATGTGTGGTAGTAAAAGTCTTAGGAGACACAGGTAGTCAGTCCCATGAAGAGGCACGTAGATCAAACTCGGAATTGACTTCCTTCCTAGGAAGGCGCTGCCCTACACAGACAGACACGGCTCCGGCAGCAAGGATGACCTCACTGCACGCTGTTCTGTTAAGCATCAAGGAACACGGAGCCATGCTCATTATAACATTTTTCCGTGTTACCAATAACTCACACATCGCCTGGGTTAGAGCACATTCCTCTTGGAGCCTGGCTCTCTTGTCTCCAACTCGACCGATCTTGCCATGGACGGTTACTGTGACCTTGGACGTCTTACAGCCATACTCAAACCAACTGAGCTGATTGGCTGAGACAGTCTCAGACATGATGCAGGGACCCCACCTCTGGGATAAAAACACCCTATTGCTAAAAGGATCTGTGGGAAATTTACAGTGTCACGGTCATGTTATTTGCATGCATATCCAAAATGAAATTCCATTCCAGCAGACCACATTCTAACTACAAATACCAGAAGAAGTTATAAATACACAATAAGAACACCAAACAGTCTGTTAGCATTCTCTCAAGAGTGCTAGAAAAGTGAGCCAACTACATTAGTGGTTACAAAGGCTTGAGCAGGCTAAATATCATGGCCTTTGGCCTCAGATGTTTTCCTCATGCTAACTTTGGAGATAGCAACTTTGCCTGACAGTTTCACGGTTAAACCGAGGACAACATATGTATTATTTGGAACTCCATTTATATTGAAATTACGTTCCTGTGCTGCTTTTAGAGCAGCAGGAAGCCCCAGATTGGTCTCCAGACTTTTTCACACGTGTCCTCTAACCTCATTCTTGGCAACCGGAATATACCAGTAAATACTCGTTACCTTTTCCAAGTTTAAGTTCAGTGTGAAGTTCAGATCCTAGGTTTTAGAGCAGAGTTCAGTCAGTCCATCATCATCTATCATCCCTAGCTAAAAGTTATTTATTGTAAAGATTTTCTTTCACACACAGATTTGAGCGGTTTATTATCCCCAATAGGAAAGGAATGAAAGCTAACTGAAGATACTTCGCCTGGGTTCTCAGAAAACCACCTGCATTGCAGAATATTGGGGGTGAAAAGTTGATCCACAGCACCATCTCCTGGTCGGATCTGGGTGTTGCATTCAGAGAGTGACACCGTCAGGGAACCGCGGAACGGCTTCCAACAGTGACTCCCAGGCCCTTCCAGTACACGGGCCGGCACCGCTGTCAGGGACTGTACCTAACGTGTGGACGTGTGAGTGCGTTGCCCCAGCAATCTCCCGGACATTGATTGGTGCCAAGTATTAAAATCCACCAATGCGGTGGAGACCCAGGTACACTAAACCCTGGCAAGAACACACAGCTGTTAAAAAAAAAAAATCGAAAAGCTTCTGTAAGATTGTGAGGAAATGTCCAGTGGAATACTAGCAGGAGAATAAAAGTGGAGCATCGGGTGTGGTCATAAGAATACAAAGGGAAAGAAGTGAGGACACGTGAAAAGTGGGAGTGCGGGGACGGCAACGATATGGATGACTTCTTTTTCTAGTCACTTAATATCTATCACCTGTGGCATGTGTGATCCTGATGGTGTGTCACATTCCCAGGAAATGACCTGCCAAACAGAGACCAGCCCAGGGCACCCAGCTGAGACATGGTGACCACCGTCACCCCTGCCCCGCAAACTGCTCTCTCTCCCCTCAGTCAGCTGTGGACCGTGTGGGTAAGAACACTCCTGGAAGTGAAGTCACCTGAGAGCATTAATCCACTATCACTCATCCCAGGTTCTATCTGCCATTCACACAGGGCCTGCAGCAACCATTTCCAAATCTCACTTGCTCTGACTCCCTTGGAGAGCTTTTTAAAGACAGATCTTTAGGTCCTGGCTTCAGAGCTACTGCAATGGACTCTTTAGGGCTGGGACCCAAGAAACTGAAGCTTTAACGTGCACCCACGTGATTCTAAATGCAGCCACGAGCCCATGAGCTCCCACGTGGGCCTGCTGGCGGATCCCAGCTGCACCTTATTGAGATGGGAGGAAGACTCAAAACCCTGGCGGTGTTGGTCAGCACTGCTTCCAAGATGCGCGTCTTCTGCTCCAGACCATCAAAGGTGAGCATTTACTGCCAAGGTTCGCTGACAGTTAACAGGTCTTCTTTAGGGTAGATTTTTTTTTTTCAAATGAAGAAATAATTGAGTTTGTATGTAATATATAGCTGCTTTCTCCCCCTGCCCCCTCCCCAAAAAAATCTTTCCTGCTTAACTCTAAAAGTCAGGATCAGTTCACTGTTGACCAAAGTCTGAATCCAGGGAGAAGGTTGTCTTGGATGATTTGGGTGCACAGTCACCCAAAGGGGGAACCCCTGTGCTCTGGTGACTGGAGCCTTAGCCGTGGGCTGAACTAGAAGGCTCCTAGTGGAGCGCAGCTGGAGGCTGGAGGCTGAATTGAAGACGCTAGTGGTAAATTTGGAGTAAAATAACAAATGTCCGGAGTAAGATGAGAACTGAAAGGAGGCACGCTTTCTTCAGAGTAATCCATGGATCCTGACCAGGGAGGCCTCTCTGCACCCCTTGTCCAAATGAGTCCGTCTCACCCTGAGTATCCCACTGTCACCCCCCATCAGAGCCCACCCATCGCAGTGCTGGGGTTGATTGGGCGGTGTGCACCCCGACTTCCTGTCCAGCAGCTGCCGATGTCCAGGGCAGACCTGCACTCTCAGCTTGCCTGCCCTGGGGCATCTAGATCAGGACTTTGCCCAGAAGGAAAGCTCATAAATGGTAGCTGAGTTTTTTGTTTGTTTTTTTTTAAGAAATTGGTGACTGATTTGGTTAAGGAGCAAGAATGTGTTGCTACTGAAGGTGATTAGAACCAGCACTTTATTTAAAACAAGCAGGAACTGCAATTCCTTATGATAGAAATTGCAAGAAAAGTAACAGGCGGCCTTAGCAGAGGTTGTCGCTGGTGCACTCAGGAATTCTTTTGGCTGTGAGTCTTCAGCTGTGACGGAGAGAGGACTGTGAGCTGAGGACAGTCTCCCCAGAAATGCCTTCTCAACAGGCAGGGAGTAGAGGAGGGGCTAGGGGACTTGAGGAAACCTCTAGGGCAGGGGTGTCAAACTCATTTTCACCGGGGGCCACATAGGTTTCGCAGTTGCCTTCAAAGGGCTGAATGGAATTTTAGGACTGTGTAAATGTAACTACTTCTTACCAGTTAAGAGAGAGCTCAGTGCTGCCGCGGGTAGAAACAAGGTGCTGGGCGGGATAAAACAAGGCGGAGGGCCGGATTCGGCCTTGTGTTTGCCACCTGTGCTAGATTTCCCACCCTCTGTCCGAGAGCCACCTTTCCGACTCTGAGGGAGGAAGGCAGGCCTGTGTGCACAGCCTGGGGCTCTGCGAGGCCCAGGGAGGGAAAGGAATCCACGTGGACCTGGAAAGTGGGAATCACGGCCTCTGAAAGCTGCAGTGTTCTGACAGCCAGAGCTGTTCGGTGATTCCGCTGGCCGCTTGTCTTTTTATTCCTGCTGGGTGGGGAGGAGGAGGGGAGAGTGAAAGGACTGCAACTAGGAAACGCAGAAGGAGCAAATCAGATGGAGAGGTTTTATACCCAGAAATACCACTGTCTTCCTCCTGTCGGTGCAAAGACTCACGTAACTTACGGATGCACTGCTAGGTGGCGTCACGGAGCACCACTTCCACTCACTTGCTTCCCGTTTCCCTGCAGACTCACCGCGAGCCAGCAGACATCTACTTCAGTCCCGTGGACGCATCGGCGAGCCCGGACCCGGAGCACGCACCGTCCCACGCACGTGCTGGGTGCCGAGTCGTAAAGGGCCGTCACCTGTGACTAACGAGTCAGGTTCACGGAACTATTGGTGAGTCAAAAACAGCACACAGGCTTATTGCGTGACATGGTCAAAAGAGAATAGTAGACAAGAAGGTATACATTTTAAAAGATTATTTTAAGTCACTAGTTTCGGGTTGATCTCATTTATTATTATAAACTCACGCCTTAGATGTGTCCCTTTCCACTCCAAGCAAAGCTGATGTACATAAAAGTTTGGGTTTGTACCAGCTCTCAGGTAGGGGGAGGTAGCTCTGTTTCTAAAATACTTTGAAAAGGAGTTGGCACAGCGTCTTCGCAATCGTCAGCTCGAGGCGCAGTTGGAAAGCCGGTGTTGGTGGCGAAGAGCGCGGGCCCAGAGCCGGGCAGCGCGCTGGGCTTCGGGTGAGCTCTGCCAGCGCCTCGTTCTGGGGCTTCAGTTGAGTGAGGCGGCGTCTCTGGGTTGTGTCTTCATTTGTAAGGAGGAGATAACGATCGGACATCCCGCCAGGAAGTGTCCAGACTCAATGGGTCCGTGTAGGTCAAGTTTTGGCACTGTGCCCGGCGCTCCTCTGCTGGGAGAGTCCAGGCAGGGCACTGTCGCGGCCAGGTGCGTGGGACACACCTGGACTGGCAGAAGATTGGTACCAAGTACGAGTTTGTTTTCTCCAGAGGGATCACGACATAAATGGTTGGATGTGTTTTTTGGGAAATAAGTAGCAAGAAATCACAAGGTATATGATTTAGATGCGAGTTCCCCCCCCCCTTTATCTAAGTCTTGAAGCAGACGTGCTTGCTCTCTGGCATCAGATTGATGAGGGGATCTTCCCATCCCCCTCAGAGTCGACGCTAAGGTAGACAGACAGACAGACAAGTAGGCAGCAGACAGGGACAGACGAATAGATCATCAATTGCTCCTCAAACATTTGATGCTGAATGATAATTATATCTAATTCCTGTGCATAGAAAACCTATGCTTTCTGATCTTCCACACATTGGCAATAGGTGTATAGTTGAAAAAAATGGCGATCGTAATAATTCTTTTCATTGAATGAGGTTAATTTAAAGGTAAATGCAAAGATGAATTCAGCAAAAACTCATCAAATGAAATGCTGTGTCCAAGAATAGTTTTATGTTTTGATATTTGTCTGGGCCTAATGAAGCTTAAAAAAATAATGGCCCAAATAATTCTAAGTGCTTTCTTATAAATAATAGTGGGTAGAGTTCAAAATAAATAATTTCACAGATTTTTCTAAACACTGGTTTGAATTCAATTTATTTTGGATTTTTATATCAGTCCTTGATGCTTGTAACTTTTCTTTTGTGTGTCTTATCTCAGCTAAACTGTCCTCGAAAATTGGTAGGGGCCATGTCTCCTATATTTTCTAATTTTTGTGCTCAAATGTAATAAAAATGTAGAAAATGCACAGATCATAAATATATAGCTTAATGAAGTTTTACAAATTGAACCTAACTAGCCCCCAGCTCAAGAAACAGAACTCACCAGCCCCCTGCAGCCCCCTGCAGCCCCCTGCAGCCCCCTGCAGCCCCCTCCTTCAGGGCCTTACCCGCTTCCCGAGGGCAGCCTCTACCCCGAGGTTTCACTGCAGAGTTCCGTGTGTCAGCTGGCTGTTGCTGCCCCACAAACAGCCACCAAACTTCACGCAGGACGTCACGGGTCACTCGCTGCGGTGGCTGTGTGGGCACCTCTGCTTGTCTCGGCTGTCTTAAATCTTTCAGAATGTGCAGGCGTGGGGCACAGCTCCCCTCCTGCAGGCCAGCAGGGCGTGGCCGTGGCGGCAGCGGGGGAGGGTAAGGGAACTGAAATACACAAGCCTCCCGTCTGTGCAGCACAGGATCCGACAGAGCAGCTCAGGGTCAGTTTCCATCTTTATTAAAAATGTCGGTATTTCGTTCACCGTGGACTGTTTTTACGTACTTTGATTTTTAAAAAATAAAAAAAAAAATCTTAAAAAAAAAGAAGAAAAGCCCTGGCCAGGTGGCTCAGGTGGTTGGAGCATCATCCCATATACCAAAATGCTGTGGGTTCAGTCCCGTCAGAGCGTGTGTGGGAGCTGGCCAACCAATGTTTCTCTATCACGTTTCTCTCTTTTTTCTCTCTCTCTATTTCTCTCTTTATAGGATCAATGGGCATATCGTAAGGTGGGGACTCAAAAAAATTTTGTAAAAAAACATTGCATTGAAATTTTGTTGTTCTTGACTACTGAGGTTTTTGCAACCCCTTAAATGTGTACCCAGGGTAAACGCCTTGCCTGGCCCTGCTGGGGAAATGCCCTCCGCATCTTTAGTGAGAGGACCCGCAGTCACATGGTGAAGGGCTTGGACACTGGGAACGGTGAAGGATCAGAGCTGACAGCACAATTACCACGTTAGTTTGGGCCATTTTTATGCTTCATTAATGGGAATTGTACGCTATGCATTCCTTTGAGTTTGGCTTCTTTCTCTTAACATTGTGTTTGTAGAACGCATCGATGGTGGCGTGTGTAGTTGTAAATAGTTCATTCTGTTGCTGAATAAAACTCCATTGTGCGAAGAGAGGGCCAAGTTGCTGAGCATTCGAATAGTCACAGCTGAGCGTTGTCAAGAATGGTGCCGCTTTGATCATCTAGTGTAAGGTTTTGTTCAATATACGTGCATCTTTTCCCAGGAGTGGAAATGCTGGGTTGGAGGGTGTGCATATATTCCTTTTTGATAGATACTGCCAGCTTTTTAATGATTAACTCCTTTAGCTTTATTGTAAGTCTTAATATCTCCTTAATATGCCCCCAACGGGCCACCCGTGGACCCTGAGGAAACAGACCGAGTGATGAGCCCCGAGGAGGCTGCAGGCGGAGAGCACCAGCCGTCTCCTCATATCGGGGCTGGATTTGTTTTCAGCGCCATGAGTGCCTTCTGGTCTAGCTCAGGGAAACTGAGGCCCAGAGAAAGCCAGGGACAAAGCAAAGCCAACCTGTGTGACTAAAAGGGGCACTGAGACGGGCCTGAGGAGACAGAGCCCTGGGCACAGCTGTCCTGCCGATGCCTGGTCACTGGGACACAGCATCTGCTCACAGGTTGCTGTAAGGTTTTAATTGTCTTGGCCCTTCTTGGCCCTTTGCATTTCTAAATGAATTTTAGAAGTAGCTTGTCACTTTCCACACAGAGGAAAAAACCTGATAGGATTTTTATTGGGTTTGCTTTGAATCTATAGACTGATCTGGGAGACTTACAAACAACATGCTTCCAAGTCTTCTTAAACATCTCTCAGTGTCTCATACCTTTGCACACCTATTTTGAGTGAAGTAGGTAGCAAATAAACCCATAGAGTGTGTATGTGGCCACCAAGTGCATTGCTGGTTCAAGGCTTTCCAGGGCTGTCCAGCCTTTTGGCGTCTCTGGGCCCCACTGGGAGAAATGTTGTTGTGGGCCACACATTAACTATGCAAACACCAACAAAACCAGAAAAATCTCATGTTTTAAACACATGCATGGTTTTGCGTTGGGCCACATTCAGAACCATCCTGGACCCATGCGGCCCATGGGTCACCGGTTGGACACCCCTGCAAGTTCAGACTGAATTGCACTCTCAGTCACACTACACACCTCACCGACACCTGAGCTCGCCCCTTTGCTCCCCCCACCCTGGCATGGCACGGCTCCTCCTTCAGTCAGGTGGGGTGCCCCTTGAGCCCTCGCTTCCCCCAGCCTGGCAAAAATCTGACCTTCCCTAACCAGGGAACTCTGATGCCACTGCTTTGTGGAGGGGGCAGGTGTCCCTTGTGCTCTTCTGCTCCATAGTCTCCCCCACTTGACCGAAATCACCAGACTGAGTGCTGAGCAGAGCCAGCCCAGAACTAGATGGGTGTGTGCTGGGTGAATGAAAAAAACCATTCCTTGTTCTGCAATTTGGTTTAGGTGGTTTATGGCTTGGTTTGCTTATTTAGTTTTTGTGTAACTTCATTTCAATTTAACTTTAATCAAAAAAAAAAATGTAGTGTTCTAGTTTGGCAGACTGGTGCGTGTCGGTCTGATTCTTGAGGCAGATATGTTGTTTGGTCTGATCTGAATCACATCTTCTAAGTTAGTGTAAAAGAAAATCAGCAGCTCAATTTTGTCTCAGATACCAGCAACCAGTGCTCCTGAAAAGGCAGTCACACCCCCTACCGCCACTAGGTGGCAGTTTTACTCTCAATAGTAGGATCAGCAAGGCCCTGCTGGACTGGGCGCCTTCACTCAAGAGGTTAAACCAATCGTGGAGCAAAACTTACGTAGTCTGGCTGTTGGAAAAATGAAGGCACACGGGAAATGAAAAGGAATGCTACTAGACATTATTTCACTGAAAGGCTAGCAAAAAGCTAAGCTAACCACATCCACAAAATCAGTAAGAACACTGCGTAAGACTAGAGACAGGTCAGACGGCGCTGGAAGTGAAAGGCCGGCCCTCCACGTGGAAGCCCACCCCTGGGGCTGAAGGGGGGATGTGGGGGCACGTCTCTCTGGTGGGACAGCGCCCTGGGGTGGTGATGAATTCTCTGCTCCTGGCGGGAGCAGAGAGGCTTCAAAGGCTTTGAAAAAGACTCTGCCCGATGACTTTTAGTTGGCACTGCTGGTAGCCACAAGTTACTGGGGGACCACGTCAAAGCCACGCTCTGTGTTTGGGGGGCGGAGGTGGAGGACATCATGAATCACCTGTTTCATTTCATTTCATTCTCACAACCCCGTCGTAAATTAGGGAACCACTCTACAGATAAGAAACCTGAGGCTCAGAGTGAGTGTATATCTCATCCAAAGCCACCAAGTGAGAGGCTGGGATAGGAAACCAGCACTCCGGCTGCTGCCATGAGCTCAGGCTGATTCCCAAGAAATCGCACCTCCCTGTCCCGAGAACAAGGAGAGCGTGTCCCCACATAGGGTGCTGTGGGATGAAGGGGGCGGGGCTCACAGGCCACACAGCAGCCGCGGCACACGCAGCCCTCCGCAAGCAGAGGCTCCCAGCCGCGGGGTCCTCGCCCTGCAAGGGCCCCCACGTTGAAGGCTGCGGCCCAGAGGACAGTGAATGGCCCCAGGACGGGCTCCACTGTTTTGCCCAATGTTGATCTCACCTAAAAGTGACATCACCACCCAAAGAGGAACCTCTCAGATTGTGAGGTCCCGGCGGAGGGGAACTGAGCCAGGAGGCCGTGACTGAACTGAAATAACTGACCTCAGTGGTCCGTAACCCCCCCGACCGGTCGGTTCTCCTCTTCTGGGGAACCACAAGAGGAACTCCGAGGGGCTCTGTGTAGTCTACCCAGTTCTGATTTTAAGTTTGATTAGGGGCTTTCCAGGCTCAAAGTATAAATCAGGGCCAGGGCTCATCTCCATGGAATATTGAGGCGGCTCCTAAAACAGCAAACCCAGGCGTTTCATGGGTCCGTCCCCAACCGGCCACCCGTGGGCCCTGAGGAAACAGACTGAATAATGGACCCTGAGGAGACTGCAGGCTGAAAGCATCAACCATCTCCTATGAGCACTGGATCTTTTCATGCTACAACTTCCTTCTGGGCTAGAGTAAGAAGACTGGGGCCCAGAGAAAGCAAGGGACGAAGCAAACCCAACCTGGGTGACTAACAGGGGCACTGAGATGGGCCTGAGGAGACAGAGCCCCAGGCACAGCTGTCCTGCTGCGGCCCTGGTTGCCGGGACACAGCACCCACTGTGTTGTAAGGCTTCAATTTTTGCACAACAGAACCTGAGGAAGCAAATGACCTGTTCTCTCTCTCTCTCTCTCTCCCCCCCTCTCCCCCTCCCTCCCTCTCCCCTACCAATCCCACAAAGACCGCTAACAACAAAGATACTCAAGTCTAGACCGAAGTGTGAGATACAGGGGGAACTGAACCTTCTGTGACTTAACACACCGTGGAAATACAGCCCCAGGGAACAGGAACTGCCTCCCTATCTCCTGCCGCTGGAGTATGAATATGAAAGAAACTACCCGGAAGGGGGAGAGCTAATAGGAAGGGCTCGTAGCTTCTCCCTGCCATCCTCATCACCACCACTGACCTCAACCCTCGGCCTCGTCTCTAGTTGGGTGGCAGAAGGAAGGAAATGAGCGGGACCCCCCCCAAAGATCTGAGGAGAGGAGAGAGCACATGCTCCCCGAGCTGCAGCCCCCACAGACGGGTCACCACTGTGTCACGTGGAGACAGGAAGTGGGGCGGGGGCCAGGCGCAGGCCGGTGGGAGGGTCCAGAAGCCGCCTCTGGGCTTCTTGGACTCAAGCGTTGTCATGGAGGAGGTTCACCAGATTCCTTGGACCCAGACTGGTCCAGAGGCATTAGCTGGAGCCTGAGACCAGTCTCAGGAGGGCACTCGGAGGAGAGCAGTGCAGGGCATGGGTGTGGGTCACCTGCCTGAGGTGAGTGAGGGTCCAGCGGCTGCCTCTCTGGGGCAGCGGAGATGACAGGAAGCAGAGGGGAGCCAGCCCTGTGTGCTCCCTGAAAAGACCACCCTGTAGGGACATCTATCCCAAGGGCCCGGCAGGCGGGGGTGCCAGCAGCAGGTGCCAGGACGGAAGTAAACCTGGTGTGCCAAGAAGCACATAGGACCAGAAGGGTCCTATCCCGAGAGCACACCAACCATGAAATGGGCTTCTCCACCACCAGCTACTGGCGATGCCAGAAGCAAGAAAATTATGACCAGTTGTGAAATACATTACACTCTGTAACCACTTGTATCAGTTTTCTACTGTTTCCATGAACATTACCATAACTTTAGTAATTTAAAATACAGATATGTCTTAGTTTTGTGGGCCAGAAGTCCCAGGAGTCTCACCGGATGACAACCCAGGGCACCCTCCCTTTGCGGAGGCTCCAGGAGAGAAAGCATTTCTCGGTTCACTCTGTTGTCGGCAGTTCCATGGGGCTGTCGGAGGACTGAGGTCCCTTTTCCTTGCTGGCTGTCAGCTGGGGTCACCCTTAGCTCCTGAAAGGCTTCCTCTGATCCTTGCTTACAGCCCCCGACATCTCTGATCCAGTAACGGCGAGTCAAATTTTCTCACTCTGCCATCCCTCCGGCTTTTCCTTATGGTCACATTTCTCTCTGACGGCACCAGGGAAGGTTGGCTACTCGTAAGGACTCATATGATTAGAATGCGCCCACCCACATCATCCGAGATCACCTCTCTATATCAAGGTCCATAACATTAATCACGCCTGCAAAATCCCTTTTGCTGCGTGAGGGTAACACATTCACAGGGGATTAGGGTATGAACATCTTTGCAGACCATTATTCTGTCTACCACCCCATTATATACTTAACAGGTATTTATTTAGTGCCTTAATGGGCCAGGCACAGGGTAGGTGCTGATTTAAGACATCAGGGGCATTAGGGAGGGGAGGGAGGCTGGAGCGAGGGTGCAGCACACTGAGACACCTGTCTTAGGGTTTCTTTGCTGTACTCCAGGGGGTGCCATCTACCGAAATACAATGTGAACTGGACCCCCACCCCCACTGTCCTATCCCCCTTGACTCCCAACCTTCATCCCTGAGTTATGCAGTCTGCTTAACTCTGGACAGGGTCATTCCAGTTCCCTGGGAAACAGGGCTGAGCTCACCAAGGGACTGAGACAGGCATCTGCTAGACCTGGGTTCAGCCAGAGCAGGAAGACCAACAAGAGCACGGGAGGACTTGCAGAATCCTAGAGAGGCCTGGAGAGAGATGCTGCCTCTGCCCTTTACCCTGTTTCCTGACCTGGTTTCATGGTTTCTCAGGGGACTGGGGAGGGTAATGCCCAGGGTCCTGCTGGGCCTCTTGTAATTTCAGATCATCAAAGAGAGATGGGGAGAGCGCAGAAAATGGTTGGTTTCTCACTAACTGCAGCCCCTTCCGGCTGAGGCTCCCTGGCCTATATTTTGCAGATCCAAGGCTCATGAGAGCCCCCAGCTTGCTGGGTTTCTTTCTCGACCACAGTCTTGGTGAGTCAGCACCGTGGTTAGCTCTCAGCCAGGACGCCACAGCCCCCATGCCCCGCCCCCCACCTCCAGAGGTCCAGGTGGAGCAGCCTCTTGATCAGCCCAGCCCTGGCTCTGCCCACGTCTTCCTTCTAGTCCAGAGCCTCCCCGATTGGCCAGCACCCTGCTGCACACCCGAGCAGCAGTTCATCCAACTCCGTGCAGTGCTTCCAAAACCACGCAAGGTGAAGGTGATAGGTAACCGAGAAGAGGTCTCATCAGCCTGGCCCGACAAGCACAGCACATTATCCGAGGCTCTTTGCTCCAGGGAGGAGCTGGGGCGTTCTGCCTCCCTCTGCTCTGGAGTCCACATGTGGAAGCCAGGTCCCAAAGACCAGCCTCCCCCCCGGGGAACAGCCCCCCTCACAGCACCGCATTCTGGCCGACCAGACTTCAGTCACAGGAACAGCTGCCCCAGGGGGTGCTCAGTACACCCTCGTTCAAATGGCTCTTTGCTCTTCACCACAAAACCCACGTCTGCTCCTACCGCTTAAAACTTGCCGGCAGAGGGGCCCTTCGGGGGGTGATGCCCTCAGAAACTAGCGTTCCCCTTTTGAGCTTGTATCCCTCTTCAGGGCTAAGTCTCTGACAGAGAGAGTGTGTCCCTGGGTGGCACAAAAGGAAGCGGTAGCAAGCGGGAAACTTGCTAGTAGTTACACACTGCAGACGGCAGTGTCTGGCTTGGAAGACATCCAACTCTGAAGATGCCCACCCCCACCAGCTCTGGATCCCTCTGTCCAGCAGGCCTTACAGGGTGCGCCCCTGGGTTTCTGATTACGGACACTGGCCTGCAGCTAAGCCTGGGAACCGGGAGAGCTTTCCTCTCTAATCTTCCCCCAAAGAGCACCAGGACAGTGACCGGAATAATACGTGTCTCTGATGCCATGCACACTTCAGCTTTAGGAGTGGGGTGTGACGGAGGATGCTGCTGGTACGTGCCAATATTAGCAGGAAGGCACAAGGTTATCCGACCCCCCGCAGTCTCTGGTGCTGGCTACCGGGTGGCGTGGCTTCTGTTAGTAAATTCACAACGTTTCTGTCTTGTTCCTGATCTGCTTTTAGTAAAAACTTCACAACCCCTTAAAATATCCAGACGCGCTGGTATCTGTACATTCTCCTACCAGCTTCTTAATTTTGGCCTCAGCAGGCTCATACACAAACTAATAGTTCAACCATCACGCAGTCAGTTACAGAGGAGGGATTGTGGCTGCCAAGCACGGACGGGAGAATCCTGGGGCCCCGAGTTTTTACCCCACCTCGAAACGGCCGAAATCTTCTCAGCCCCCGGGTTTTGGGGAGCAGGGGCAGATCCCCTCTTCCCTCTCACTGTGGCGAGCCCAGGCCCCAGGCTCAGCCTCTTCACCAGGGAACAGGCTGATCGTCTGGGGTGCACTAATTAACAGCAAAAATAAAGTCGCATGCGGCCAAACAGCTTGGGGAACTCGGGGAGAGCCCGTTGTCCCAGAGCGCCTGCGATGCTGAGCTCCACGCAGGAGCCCACAGAACACGCCGCCGCCCCACCACACTCGTCGACTGAGTGTCGGGCAGCTCACTCCGGGAGCACCAGCTGCCCACTCCATGCCTTGTCGCTGGGACAGAGACTCACGGGGAAAGCATTTCAGAAAGCAGCAGTTTGTGACAAGCAGAACCAGGGAGACTCTGAAAGGAGTCCCGCTGGCCCTGGGCTTCAGATGGGGCCCTTCAGGGGGGCGGGTGGAGGCAGGCAGCCCTGTCCCTGGGGGAGACTCTCCTAGAACATCAGGAAACTTCTCAACTGTCCCGTTACCTTTTAGGGACCTTTCGCACCGGTGTCCAGTCATGTCCTGGAATTGGCCTGAGTTCCACATGTGCGCGTGGAATGAACTTGGACCCCACCCACTCTGCTCCAGCCAACCCCCCAAGTTTGTTTCCACCTCGGAGGCCTTTCCTGCTATTCCCCATGTCTGCAACATTCCTCCCCCTCCCCTCTGAGTGGCTAGGTCCCTCTTAGCGTCCAGGCCTCAAGTCAGCATCTCCCCTCAGAGAGTCCTTTCCTGACGCCCTCTCCGACGCAGCCCACCACCCCGAGTGTTCACTGTCCCACCAGCCTCCCTTGTGTCCCTCTTATCACTACCTGACATTTTCTTAGGTCGATTTGCTTACTGTCACCCACCGCAAGTGTGAACTCCGCAGAAGCAGGGCCCTTGTCCGTCTCATTCACGGCCGTGTCCCCAGGTGCCCGGCACGTGGCCGGCAGCCAGGAGGAGACGTCTGTTGAAGGAATGTTGAAAGGCATATTCGGATGTATATGTTTGATGGGCTGGGCGCCCCCTAAGAGCTGGACTGGAGGGAGATACCTGGGGGGAATCCCCTGAGGACTCTGGTGGAGAGGGCGGGGCCAGGAGCCTGGGCTGGGATGTCCCAGGTCAAGTGTAAGGCTGTGCTGTGCAGTTCCCTCCACATCCCTGCCCAGAGGTGCACAGTAACCAGGGTGCGCAGCTTCCACGAAGCTCCCGGGAACAAAGACACTGGATACCAGACGTCTGTACCTTCACGCTCGGTCCGGCTACAACTCAGGACACTCAGGGGAGCGTTCAGGTTCGATAAGTAACTCCTAGGGAATGCGGTTTAAGGGAGCCAGAAAAACTGTTTGGTTCTCTGCTCCCTTCGCTTCCCCACTTAAAGCCGCCAAAGAGGAAGGACAGAAAAGGCTCCAGAAGAGCAGAGAGAAGTGAGGTGCAGCCCTGCCCTGTCTCGACCCAACCCTGAGGCCTAGTCCTGCGTCGGGGAGGCTCTGGGGAAAGGCAGGAAAGCAGAATGGCCTTTCTGTGAGGTCTGGGGAGCTGACGCAGGCCAGGATGGAATTCTCCCCTCTGCCCCATCTCAGGGTTTTCTGGGCTGCAGCCCCACAGATGTGCCCAGCCGAACCCACACTGTAATTCTCATTTCGAGGCGAAAAGTTGAAGACTCAAAGTTTAATGGATGCTTGGGCGCCCCAAAAATTGCCATCCCCACCCGACCTCCTCCCTGCATTAGAACCCTCACTTCAGGTATCAGGTGGGCGGAGCTCAGGGGGACTGAGCTCCTCCTCCGGCCCAGGTAAGAGAATCCGGGTCAGGCCGTGGCCTCAGTGTCGGCTGCTCTCAGAGCCATCTCAGTCCGGCTGAGTCGGCCTCCCCGGGGTGAGTCAGAGCCCTCGTGGTTGCAAGCTCCCAGGGGCGTTCGGTGCAGCAGGGCTGGGAATCATGGGAATCAGACACCCCACCTCAGACGGTGCTTCCCATTCTCACAGCTGCAGGGAGAGTGTCCTGGGGCTTCCAGCAGAGCCGAGCCCCGTCTTGTTAAAAAGTGTATGTATTGCCCCTATGATTTCACTTATGGGGAATTGAAATAACAGTATAGATGAACGAAGAAAACAGGAACAGGCTGAGGGATATAGAGAATGAACTGATGTTTGCCGGGGGGGGGGGGGGGGGGGGGGGGGGAGTTGGGGACTGGGTGAAAAAGGTGAAGGGATTAAGAACTGCAAACTGGTAGTTACAGAGCAGTCATGGGGATGAAAAGTACAGCACAGGAAATAGCAACATTGCAATCACTATGTACGGGGCCAGGTGGGCACTGGGAACATCAAGGGGAACACTTTGTGGAGTATAGGATTGTGTAACCGCTATGCTGTATACCTAATACAAAATAATATTGAATGTAAACTGTAATTGAAAAAGTGTAATTAAAAAATGGCTAATGACAAAAATAAATACACGTATTACGTAAACGAAGCCAGCCATGCCCTGCCCCCCCCCCCATGAGATGCAGTAGTGTGGAGAAAGGTAGTCCCTCCTCAGGGACTAGAAGTCTAACCAGTTTTTCAACTGAATTGAGTCTACAGCCCAGTAATTTTCCACTCGGAGCCAAGTTAAACATTAAAGAGGCCCTTTACTATTTGGTGGTTATAAAATACATCTCCAGTAAAAAGGAGTCATCAGAAAACAAGCGGGAAGGTTCTTGTACCGTGTCCATGAAGGATAGGTATTGTATAGCTCGGCTCACGGAGCAAGAGGTGGCTAGAAATTTCCACAGCAGTGCCCAGGAGTGGCCTGCAGGTGGCACTGGAGAGTGATGCTGAGAGAGTATCTGCTCCTGCAATTTCAGCCCCTGGAAAGAGAAAGCTCAAGGGAAGACTAGGCTTTCTTTCCTTCCTGCTAAATTTAATTGCTTTAAGTTAAGGCACAGTGTGAGACTTCGTGGCATACAAAAAATAACAAAATTATAAAAGGTGTAATTTGGAGGTTTTGTCAAGAGCTGTGCTGATGGAACCCTAATAGCTGTAAATGTTCCGAGGTGCTGAGGCTGGGCGCGAGGGTGTCTGAGGGAGGAACAAAGCCGCGTTAAGTGCTCGGGCTCAGGCTCCGAGAGGAAAAAGCTTTTTGGTCTGCAATTACCAGTCTGCTGCTCTTAAAACACATCCCCTTGCTGCTTGCTATTTTTTCATGCATACTTCTCCCTGATGGGTTCACGTGTACGTTCACATGAGTAAAATATGCTTTTTACACTTGGCTGGGTGTTGAAGTTCCTGACTGACAGAATAAAGACTTAGGTCCTCACTTGGCAGCGGCTTTGCCTGATACTGGGCTTGTGAAGCTCCAAAGTGCAAAACGCACTCATCCAGGCAACACGTTTGCATTTTATGCGTTTGCCTGCTTCCCAAGCCTGCCTTGTCAGGTGTATTCCCTCTCTGGTTCTTCCCTCCGAAATCCTGGAGCAGTGTGTCCCTTCCTCGGTGGAGAGTAAGCTCCTCCGTTCCTGGGCAGTGGCAGACCTCCGACCTTCTCTCTGGGTTCGTACTCAGCAGCGTGCGCCTGGCCGGTGCTCTCCCAGGTGGGCCAGGCCAGCACGTGGGCCGAGGACAGCACTGGATGGATCTCCCACCGTGTGTCCCTGGCTTTTAGAAGGTCCTAAACCCCGAGCTAAGGTTGCTCTGGTTCGTGCCTTGTTCCTTTAAAAATCCTTCCTACTGAGAAGAGCTTTTGAAAAAGGAATTAGAGTTTACATTTCCACTTAGAGCGGCCCATCCCAGATTGGAGGAGAAGCCCTTTTTGATCCCTTACACCTCCAGGGACTGTTGACTGAGCTGGGCCACGATTGCAGAAAGGTGGCCAAGACAGACACTGATGAAAGCGGATTGTCAGGAAGCATTGGCCTCACACTGCCCATGTCTCCTAAGCCTACAGCATCCTGTAGGAAGGAAGAAGGCCTTTCTCTTCTTGTCGCCTCCACAGCCTGATGGCCGGGCCCGAGTTTCTGCCTCCGGCCCGTTGGGTTTCTCTCGGCCAGGGCCGTTCATCTTCCCAGGGTGGCCTCCAGAGGGAAGTAGTTCAGAAAGAGGGAAATCAAAAGACAGACTTGTGGAAAGGTGGTGAGCCACAAACGGGGCTCAAGAAACCAAAAGGCTTTGGTTGAGAAGTGCACGTTCCTCTTCAGGCCTCAGCTCACTTCCTCAATCCTCATGCATGTTTTGAGTTAGGTGGATGTTAACACTCCCCCCAAAATATCTTCTTCCTGACTGACACTGGTTACCCGGACCAGCTATAGGTCATTGAAGGGGCTCCGTCAATACAGTAACCCACATCTCCATTCTTACTCCGTGTGCCCGTAGAAAGGCCTCTTGGCCAAGGTCTCCCACCCACAAGCAGATTCACAACAAGAGGGGAGGCTAGCGTCTCACCTGTGCTGGACATATGACTGCAATATTTTTATTACCTCTACACTTAAAATCCTCCTGCTTCTTCATAAATCTGCACAAACCCAGGAAACAAAGAAGGCACAAACACAACTCACAGGCCCCTTGCAGCAGCTGTGCCCCAGACTAGCACCCATGTGGGTGCCCCGGAATCAGACTCAGGCCATCAACGGCAGCAGTTCGCCAGACACTCACCAGGGAAAGTCTTAATGTGCTTGTTCTCAGATGTGCTTGAGCTCACCCAGTATTTACTAGGCTGACCCACTCTTACTGCGTTGCTTGATTCCCTGATGAAAAGTGACTGTCACAGTCATACCTTTTGGGCACTTAGCGTTTGAAGTGCTTCTACATAGTACTTCCAGGTAGTCTGCCCACCACCACCAGAGGCTGGTACTATTATCGTTCCCGTCTTACAGATGAAGACACTGAGGTGCAAAGAAGACAAGCGACTTCCCCCAAACAAGTGACGCGATCAATCACGCATGTCGTGCCATGAGAACAAGGAGGACAGAACAATCGCATTAAAGAACAGCAGTCGTAACTAATGCTGACTGAGCTCTGTGTGTCAAGCCCTGCACCAGGTGCTGCAGAAACTTTCTCTGCTTTGACCCTCACATCGGCTGGTCCGGAAATTACATCAGAAGCTCGGCAGGTCCAGCCTTCGAGGAGTGTGACCACAGTGTGGAAAGGCTCTATCTCTGGGCATCTGCTCTTTTACCTCTTGTTTTGACCACTAATGTTTCCAATGCAGTTGGAACAGACCTGGTTTCCTCACTGCTTCCTCTAATGTCTGGCCATCAGAGTCCTAATAATGGGTCACATCTGGGAGAACAACCAGGCTCCACCTCTCCCCCCCCCCCCCAGCTACGTCACTGGGGATCATTATTACAGTAATCCCCCTCTGTCCATGGTTTTGCTTTTCGCCATTTCAGTTACCCATGCTCAGCTGTGGCCCAAAACTATTAAGCGGGAAATTCCAGACATAAGCTATCCATAATCGAGCAGAGTGATGAAACCTCACACCATCCCACCGCAGCCCACCCAGGACGTGAATCGTCCCCGCACAGGCTGCACCACCTCGTCCCTGAGAAGCCGCCTCAGTTACCAGATCACTTGTCAGAGAGAGACCACAGCTGGTGTGTGTGTGTGGTTGCAGTTGTTCTATTTTATTGTGGTCGTCGTGTCTTAGAGTGCTGAAGTTATAAGTTAGCCTTTATCACAGATATGTGTGTGTCGGAATAAACACACATATGTGTCTGTGCATGTGTGTATATGTGTGTGTATGAATAAATATGATTAGGTACTAGCCACAGGTCGAGGCATCCCTTTGGGGTCTTGAAACACGTCCCCCACAAATAAGGGTGGACTGCTGCTGTACTCCCAATTTGATGAGGACACTGAACCTCAAATAAGCTAAGCAATTTGTGCAAGTCCATCCAGAGTTCAGGGGTCTGGGGAGGGAGGTGCAAACGCAGCGTCCAGCTCCGAGCAGACAAGGGAGGTTAGGGCACAGCAGCCGAGGAACCAGCCGGGACAAAGTGCGGAGAGGCCCGCTGGCTCGTGCAGTCCAGACGGATGAGGGCGGAAGGCACGGGGTCTGCAGTTGACCGGTAAAAACGTGCGTGCCGTGCTGAAACACGGATGGCGCTATCCTGTGAGCCAAAGGCTTTCAAACACGTTTCAATATGATCAAATCTACTTATTGCTAAGGCCTGGACCAGAATCTTTGAAAATAATTATCGCTTTTGATTGATTTAGTTAACAAAACCCACGAGACAGGATAAGAGCATCCTCGCCCCCATCGTATGGATAAGAAAAGTAAGCCCAAGAAGTTAAATGATACACTTAGGATTGTAGACTGTCAGTGACAAAGCAAAACCTTATGCCCTCATCTTCCGACGCCTGGTCCTGAACTCTGACCCTAACAAAGAACCCATGTCTGACTCCAAGAGAACTGCCAGCCCGGGCACACTCACCCTATACTTAGCCGAGCAGCAAACACAAAGCCCGCGAGCCCCACCCACTCACTGGCGGCCTGCTCGCGCCACGCCCCCTCAGCACACTGGACTGCGGGCAGAGAAGGCTCTGCCGGGTTTGTAAATACAACTGTCGGTTCACGGGGCAAGGAAGAAAATCCAGAGCCTCGCGGGCCTCTGAAACTCTGAACTGCCTTCTGCACTTTCCCTGTGGTGGTCAGAGAAAAAATCAGTTCGTCTTCAGCAATCTGAGTTTCAACCAGTGTAAAGCATTTCACTGAAGAAGATTTTTGTTCGGTGTTTGAGATCCTCTGCAACACCCCAGCCCCTCTGCTGCCAGGGAAATCCTTTGAAGAATTCTAAGAATCCTCTCACCGGAAAGGGTGGGCTCAGGAGCCTCCGGAGGTTCCCGCAGGCATCTTTAAACTCTGAGTTTGAAGCGTGGGCGGGGCCAAGAAAAG